CCCCCCTGAGCCCTTACGTGTGCAGCTGACAGCAGCGCTGTTTGCGGGGGAGCAGGGCTGGTCCCTGCGGGACCCCCTGGGGCAGGAGGCCAGGAGGGATTCATTCCCCACACACTGCAGCTCTCCATCCCAGGTGGGACCCGCCCCTTCTCCAAAGGGACTTCCTCCAGGGACAGGCAGGGCTGCGCCGCACTGCAACTCCCTGCAGAGCACGTCCGCAGCTTTGGCACCAAACTGGGAATCACAGACAGTTTTCCACTGGTCCCTGTCACGGATCTGCACACGGCCTGAGCAGCGGCTCTTTCCTTCCACCAGACGGACAAATCCTGGAAAAAACCCAGAACAGCCGGGAGTTCCCAGAGCCCTCTGGCAGTTACATGCCCACATCCCACATCCCCTCCAAGGAAGCCGTGACCAGTTCTCCCATTGCACAGCCCAGAGGAAGCTGCTGGGGGAGTGTTGGTGACACAAACACATCCCGGCCCCCTTGCCCCCCTCCACTGCACCATCACAGCACTCAAGGGGCTGTGTCTGTCTCAACAGCTGCACTGGTCACACTAACTGCGGCTGCACAAGGTGCCCTGTGGAGTTGAGCAGCAGGGCAGCACTGCCTGCATGGGGCCCTGTCCCTGCAGGGCTGTCACAGCCCCAGGGATGTCCTAGTGCCAGCCTGGGCACGCAGGGATGCCGTAGGGAGCAGCCAGAGCCAAGCAGCTGCCAAGCTCCGAGGCCTCACAGTGCTGGATCCCCCAGCCGAGCCCCGGGGACAGGAGGCGCAGGGCTGTGTGCCAGCCCGCTCCACTGCCCAGGGCAAGCGCCCATGCTCTCCGAAAAGCCTTTTGGTTCAGTCGAGGTACTCATGCCTGGGAGGGGGGTGACCCACGGGGACCAGCCATCTCATGCTGATCCTCCAAGTTCTGGTGTTCTGGGAAAGTTCTCCCCAGGTCTCTCCAGCACAGGGACCCTCAGCATTGCTGGCTGGGAACTGGCAGAATGGGTGCAGAGCACTGGTCAACAGTGGACGCACTGGGGCAGGGATGGAAGGTTCATCTGCAGCCCAAGACAGTGACTGAAGGGGGCTGAGGCCCTGTGGCAGGGTCAGTTCACCCTGGGGTGGGCTCCCTCTGGGATTTCCCCAGGGGCTGGGGACATCAGCAATGACAGTCCAAGCTTGGCAGCGTGAGCGGCCACACTGTTCTGTGCTCCAGCACCCGCTTGTTCTCTCTGAGGACAGAGCCAGATCCCTTCCACCGTCACAGAACCAGAGGTGGGGAATACCCTGTCCCCTTACCTGAGCACATCACTCCAGCATCCTGGGCATGATTGCAGTTATGTTTACCCCATCCTCTGTGTCTGCAGTCAGACAGGGCAGATTCGGTGCCTTTACAGCCAACATCATCCATCCAAATGGGGCCGGATCCTGGCCCAAAGTATCCGTAATGAGGAGCTCCAACAGCAGACCCACATTCCAGCTGCTTACAAACCACTGCTGCATCATTCATGCTCCAGTAGTCACCACACACAGTCCCCCACTTGCCCTGTTGTTTCACCTCCACTCTCCCAGCACAGCGACTGCCGCCATCCGCCAGCCTCACCTCCACAGCACCTGCAAACACTAACATGAGATGGGTCAGGAGAGCACCGAGCCCCAGCACTGCGGGTCTGAGGGAAGCCCCTGCCAGGGTAGAGTCTGAGGTACCAGGGTGGGAGCCCACACACCCCCAGGCCGTCCCCAGGGCACTTCAGGGGTCCCTTCTCTCCTCATGGGTTGTGCAAGGCTGGGGGTGACCGCTCCAGCCCTGATGGGTCATTTGCCATCCCACCACACAAGGCATCTTTTCACAGCCCGATGGCTACCTCCCTCCTGCCCATGGCCACCCACACACAGCCCAGCCCTACACTGGGTCCCTGCTGCTCCCCAGCACCCCCTGAACAGCCCCATGTGCCCAGGCCTGCAGCTTCCCATGCAAACTGCCTGCCCCAGCACCATCCAAAACCACCCCCATGCCCAGGCCTTTCTCTGCTCCCACTGAGAGGATCCGGAAGGTCCCTGCACCCACATCCCCTCCTCACCCCCGGGGTCAGCCCAGTCCCTGCACTGGGCCGGGCCCCCCAGGCAGGATGTCCCTCTATGGTAGATGCCCCAGTCCCCTTCTCTCAGTGGGGTACAAACTGTCCCTGTGGGGTCAGGGCTCCCCTGGAACAAGGGGGCAGGGAGAAGCACACAAAGCCTTGGGGGCACCCGAGAGATTGGCAGTGTCCTGGGGGATCTCTGGGGGCTGCCATCACCCACTA